TATGCGGTGCTGGCCTCACATGAAGCACGTGGATTAGGAAAGGCAGGTCCTCTGCCAACCCAGCGTCCTCCTTCCCTTCCTGCCAGCAGGTCCCTGCAGAGCACCCTGTGCCTGGCATCACAGCCCCCACCTCTGTCCTTGTCCTGGGGAAGGGCCTGACTTGCCATTCTCAATAAAATACATGGCTTCTCATGGCCCTGTCTTAGGAGTAGCTACCTGTTAGTTACACTTGAAAACCTTAAAACCCACAGGAAGTAAGCAGTAATTTCAGGACTTATCCATAATTAAGTAGAAGGGGGAGGTTTTAGGCCAGAAGGGGAGATTATTTGCAGCATACCTGAAGTTACATGACTACGAAGCAGCCAACATACAAAGCCAACCTTGCGTATGTGACACTGAACTTATTAGACAGTTAAGCAAGTCTTAAATTTACTCAACATGGTGGGAATTACTGGGACTTAGGCCTATTGGGTCTTAGTGCCTGCTTAGGGCATCCCTGCCCCACACTGTTGTAGCACCCACCCCTGCCAACCCTCCTCCCGGGGCACCACACTGACATCGGACCAAATTCTTGTCATTTTCCTCTCCTTCAATCAAAATTAATTTATTCTCAAACCAATTCTTACAAAATGTTGCCAATATAAATAATGCACGATAAATTTGGTAATGGTTGAACAGTGCTCAATACCTGTTTTCTTCCCCCAAATACATGTATGTTAGCAGGGAACATCAAGGAAAAAAACAACTTAGGTCAAAGAATAAATTTCTAATGAGCCAAAACCTGACTATGGAGAACCCTGGTCCTGACTTATTTTAGTTACTAACACCTAACTGACATCGACTGGATATTAACCATTCAGTGACCATGCCTGCAAGGCAGGCTCAGAATTCTTACTCTGCCTAAAGCAACTAAAATTCAAAGTCACAGAGCCTTACAGTCAGTGACAGAGCTCCTTCCTGTGGTTCCCTGATGCAACTAAAATTAAATAATGAATATAGAGCACCCCTTCCCCATGCTGAGCCAGGGACCCCAGAAGAGAGGTAGGGGATGAAGGTGAACTCCTTTTGGTATTCAACTTAGTCTGTGGTGTTTGTTCTCCCCACCTGTGATGATTATGTTGCCTTTATAGTTGAAAGCGCATGAGAAGATTTCATCCGTGTGCCCCCGGAGCACCTGGAGGCACTGGCCAGTCTGAGCATCCCAGATTCTCGCTGTTTTGTCAGAGCTTCCTGTTAGAAGACGGTTCCCTTGGGGGTTGAAAGAAATCTACAAAAGAGAAAGAAAAAACCATGACAGGTTTGTGTAAATCTCCCCAACAAATTTAATCAGCAAAAAGGGGACATCACTAAGCACCTGTCACCTTCCCAGCCTGGTACTTATTCTTACACAGAACAGTTCCTTCATGATGGGAAAAATATTGCAGGGACAAATACATGCAAATTAAAATCTAGACAGAAACGTTAATAGCCTACCCACCACCCCCACCACACACACACACACACACAATTCTAAGGACAAAGATCAAAGCACCTTTATAGTTTGAATATTCCCCACCCACTTCTTTCAAAAGACTGGTGATGCCTTCTCCATGCAAACAAAGACACAGGGCCCTGCTGTGGCTGAGAACCCGTCAGGCTCCTTTATACCCAAATCTCTAAGCTGCCTCTGCAACCCAACTTTCTGGGGTCAAAAACACACAGTCTGTCACAGAATAAGCGAACATTAGGGCCTACAAGAGAGGACGTTCTGACATTGCTACTCAAAGTGCAGCACTTTCCATAAACACATTCTAAGTGTCTCCCATGTGCCAGGCATTGTCTAATGGTACCTGAGCAGCAGTCAAAGAGAACTGTTAGTCTTCCATTCCTTTTGGTACCATGTTCATAACCTTCTCTAAATCATCAGAAGGCAATGATTGGTGCCACCTCCTCCATGACTGAAGGTGTGATAAGGGCAAAGCCATGTCTTGTTTTCATCACTGTGTCACCAATGCAGAGAGCAATGCCTAGCACAGAGGAAGCTCTCAAAAAGCATTTGCTGAATGAATGAATATAAACCTTAGTTTGATACTCCATAGAAATGCCCTTACTGGGTAGCGATTCAAGAAGCAATATATCACTTAAGTATAAAATGCAATAATGTAGAATCTTAGAACTCTTTATAGTCAGACTCATGCAAAAATAGATGTGCAATTGTTGAGTGGGACATGCCAACCATGTCAATAGCTATCAAGCCAGACATTCAGAAATACGACCCAGCTCTCTCCTCAGCCTATCTCTCGTGTCCACACTTGCCCTACCTCTCTTCTTGCCAGCCCCTAAAGCTTCCCAGCCTGTGAAAAGAATGTGCTCTGCACTTCCATGGAGACCAGGCCTGCTAGGCTCACAATGACCACCAGCAGAAGGTGAGGGAGCAGGAGAGGAGAGAGCATAGTAGGGGTGGTTCTGGTGTCCAGGTGGAGCCTTCAGAGACTAGAAACCATCATGCTGATATTTTATAAGGAAGGAGCAAATCTGACCTGAGATCAAGGAATTGGGCTAGGAGGTGAGAGTCACCAAGTCCCAGCTTTCTCTAGAAATATTTGAGGACACATCTAAACCTCAGATCACAGACTGGATGGCCCTGCTCTGTGAATAAGCCTTTGGGAGAAGTTAATACAAAATTCTTAGCTACAACCTTGGCGTTTCAACATAGGTCATTTTAAACTTTGTTGAGTGTTAAATATTTCCATGAAATACTTCCTCAACTGCACCTAATTTACAGAATACTTGATACTTTCCTTGCACAATATAACCTTGTGTGTCTAGCAGAACCAGGAAAATCACTTCATAAGCTTCATAAATAACTTTAATAAGTATTTTCATCTAGCTAAATCTTTTGCTGATGGCTGAGAAAAACACTTTTATAGTTTATGAAAAGTTTTAGAAATAATTTATTACACTGAGTTTGAGGACACACTTAAAAATAATGTCCTTAGGTGCCTAATTTCTAAAAAGAACGAGATCATTGGACAAACCTTAGTAGCTTAGTGCCAATACTTAACACTAAACATGCTATTTTTTTAATTAAATAAATTGCTCCAAATGAGAAAGCAACTCACCTTTGAAATCTCACCTTCATGACCTTCCAATTTAGTAATGCATTTTCTGGTGGCTGCACTGAAAACTCTTGCTGTTCCTTTTTGAGAGGAGTGGGGATACATACATAAATTCACCTGAAATACAGAACTTTGAACCACACGCCTTGAATTATCTAACCATTTATCACCCTGACACACAGCTGACTGCTAGGTTTGTCTTCTGTGATGAGAGCCAGCCACTCAAATGCAAGCTGGTCCCACTGTGGGTAAGAGAGTGTGAGGAGTGCCTGGCTAGCCCTGAGTTTATCACAAGAGATAATGGGTTCCAAGGTAGAAAAAGCAAAGAGGCAACAATTCAGAATGAAAAAAAAATATTTTAAAGGGAGAAAGAGGGAATGAAAAAAAGTCTTGAGAGGCCAGGGATGAAATAAGCAGAAAGCCTACGATCATACACCAAATATGAGTCTAAGGTCGCAGAAGGCACAAGCAGCCACTCTAAGAAGAAACAGTGGCTGCCACTCAAATGAACAAAGAACAGGCACTAGAAACCCTTTTCAACAGAAAGAGCTAACAGAATGGTTTGCTCCCTGTTGTGTCTCCAGTGCCTAGAAGTGCCACTCAACAAATAGATGCAGTGTGGATGGATGAATGGATGGATGGATGAATAGAAGAAAAAGTATGTTTTTTTAGAATTAAAAAGTGGAGGAGTAAAATAAGCATAGAAGAGAAAAAAATAGCAGTAATGCAATTGTTGTCAGAAAAAAAGCTAACATTTGTCAGGCCAGGAGAAGGATACTTTCTTGTTGCAAATTACAGCATTGCATAGAGTAAAATTAGCAAGAATAGGGTGTTTTGATCACAATTTTCATTCAGAGAAGAGCAAAATGTCTTAATTTTTTATTTACCTTTCTGACAATGTCAACTCAGGAGGAAGTAGACAAAATGATGAAAAATTGCTATTTTAGAATTTACATAATCTAAAATAATAAAAGTGTAATATGCTAATTAGACCAAACAGCTGAACGAACTTCCAGGCGTCAATCCGGATGTCCTTCTGGATGAAGCCACGGTGGCAGGGCTGAGACAGAGGTGGTTAGGGGCAATCAGGCAGGCAGGTGAGCAGTTAGGGGCAATCAGGCAGGCATGCAGAGTGGTTAGGGGTGATCAGGCAGGCAGGCAGAGTGGTTAGGAGCCAGCAGTCCCAGATTGTGAGAGGAATGTCTGACTGCCGGTTTAGGCCTGATTCTGCCTAAACCGGCAGTCAGACATCCCCCAAGGGGTCCAGGATTGCAAGAGGGTGCAGGCCAGGCTAAGGGACACCGCCCCCCACCGTGTGCATGGATTTTGTGCATCAGGCCTCTAGTCCTATATAATATAATAAAAGCCTAATATGCTAAGTGTCCTGTCGACCAGTTGCCTGTTTGACCAGATGCACACTGACCACCAGGGGGCAGATGCTTCAATCACTAGTTTAGCTTGCTGCTGGGGTCTGGCCAATCAGGACTGGACAAGATGAGCCAGACACACCCTGGAGCCCTCCCTCAGTCCCTCCCCAGCCAGCCAACCTCCTGCGGTCCCTCCCCAGTTGGCCAGCCCCGATCAGCCCTGATCATGCACCAGTGGGGTCTCTCAGCCTGTCCTGTGCCCTCTCACAGTTCGGGACCCCTCAGGGGATGTCAGAGAGCTGGTTTCGGCCCAATCCTCACAGGCCAGGCCAAGGGACCCCACTGGTGCATGAATCCGTGCATTGGGCCTCTAGTTAAAATATAAAACTTGCTCCTTAGTGGGACATTTCAAGTGCCTTAAAGGAAAGTGGCCAACTTGTTTGAAGAGTTTATTAATAATACAAAATGGAATATATTACATAGTGCAATACTCTAAATTAGCACAAAGGCATTTTTTCTTTTTTTTTATGTATAGGGCGTAATGTCACAGGAAGGCCATAGTATTCTGCCACCCGTGAGGAGTAAGCCCAAGTTGCTGTTGGATGTGTTGTACACAGAGGAGCCATTCTTCAGGCACTCTGCTCTCTCCACACCCAAAGTACAAAAGCATTTTTAATCTTCAGAAAACACAGAAATAAGGTAGTCTGAAACCTTAATTTTTTTAAAAAAAAGATAGAAATATGAATAAGATTAAAAAAATTAAGCCTTCAGCATAATTTCAAAGAGGAAGGAAAGATAATATATAGGAACAGATGTAGCTGCCCAGGTAACTCATTGTGTTGACAGATTCAATTTTAATAAGGAAATAAGGAGCAAAGACCAGAGATAAATAAAGAAATTGGTCTAAACATCAATACTTTTCAAGAAGTACAGATGAAAAGAGGTTTACAAAACACATCAAAAGAAAAATAAATAAGTAATGTCTTATCAAACAAGAATGAAATCACTGCTAGGGAAAAGAGCAGATCATAGAAAAAACAAAACTGGAAGAATAAAACTTGTATTTTATTCTCATCCATCCTGATCCCTTAGCCCTGCTTGTTTCCTGGCCCCCATAGCACTGACCAACTCCTAACATCCTGTACAATCTAACATCCTTTTAATCTAACATTCCACATAAAACGTATGTATGGCATTGGTAATTGTCTCCTCCTCCATGAGGGCAGGGATTTCTGTCTCTCTTTTTCACTGATGATACCCTTTTTTCCTAAAACATAGGTATTCCTGGCACAAGGTAGGCATTATATGTGTGTGTGTGTGTGTGTGTATATACACACACACACACACACACACACATTATATTGAAGAAATTTTTTGTATAAATGAGAATATTTAAAATGAAAAGGGCAGATTAATTACAGTTGAGAGATGATTTTTTAAAAAGCCAAGATCTGTGAGAAAATGAAAAAATAGTTACTTTTAAAAATAAAATTGTCCAGATTCAGAGGGTTTACATTCCGGGATATAAAAACAACTTGTATGTATAGTCAAAGAATTACCTTTGAAAAGCCCCAGTAAGAGAACAAGTATGCAAATGTAATTTTAAAAGGGAGACAATGATGAAATAAAAACTGGGTAGTTAAAATGAATCACCAGCAAAATAATATAATGGCATATGTGATCAACAGGGAAATGACATAGATGTTCTATAGTGTCATATGTGGTCTTCGTGAAGTTGAGGCACATCGTGTAGCACCAGCCTATGTTTATCAATAAGAAACACAGACATAGTATAGAATCATAGTGGTTCTCATGAACATGATGTATAGCAGAGCATTATATATGTTTATCACGAAGATCTGCTAGACATAGTGGAGCAGCACATGTGGTCATAAAGGAAATAATGCAGATTTATTGTAGAACCATGGATGGTGATCAAGTTGCTGAGGTTGACATTGTGTAGCATAGTGCATGGACATCAGGGAGATGACCCAGAATGTACCATTATATATCATTATTAAGGAGATGATGAAGACCTAGTATAAAATCATAAGTGGTTGTCAAGGAGGTGATGCAGACATTGCATAGCATTACATGTGGTTATCAAGAATATGATACAGGCATGGTGTAGTAATATACAATGACATCACAGGGGTAAAGCAGAATACAGTTTCTATTATAACTGGTCATCAGGGGAATGACCTACAGTGTAGAGTCACTCTTATTTATCAAATAAAGCATAAGTCCCTCCACAAGTTAAATGTAAGAAGAGATGACCTACCATCAGCTGAAGCAGTTGCAATAAGCTTTCCAGTGTAATCAAAACAGCAGTCGAGTATTTCATCATCATGGCCTGTTAATGTTGCCATACATTTTCCACTTGTAGCATCCCACAACTGCAATTAGAAGGAGGAGGAGAAGGAGGAAGAGGAGGAGAAGGAGGAGAAGGAGGAGGAGGAGGAGGAGGAGGGAAAGGAGGAGGGGAACAAATAAATCTCTGGCTATATAAATTCACCAATATTAACTAAAGGCCAAATAAATATACGCTTCAATGTATGTTGTAATTATACTGTTGCTTTCCTTCTCTAAATATAATTCGAGCAGTAATTATTAACATAAGTAGGAA